GTTTTGTAAGCTAGTTTGTCATTGTATCTTACTGATTTATTGTTGTTGTGATTTTAATTAAGAATAACAATGAATGCATCTTTTGTTTTAATCTTAAAAATTAAAGGTGTGTAGATGTATGCAAGCAAAACAGTGACAACAAGATCGCAAATTCGAAGCAAATTCGAAGCCCGCGGCTTAACACAGCAAAAAAGAAAGAAACTCCCATTCACAAAATTTAAATCACAAATAATACTACTGATGATAAAGAACGGGCTGAATGTTAACCACTTTTGTTTCCATATAACTATAAACTATGATAAAAGTTCATCAGCAGCATGCATAGAATAATCCCATGTTGTAGAGCAAAAAAAAATAAATAAATATTGCAACCAAATCATGTGCTCGTGCGACCAGCTGAGAAAGTTAGTTGCAAAAGAGCGACCAGTGGGAAGAATGAGTCTGGAGCCCTGTATAGGCTATACAGTGCATGAGAAGCAAACTGGTGCTGTTCTGTTTCTTTTGGTGTATGACTCCCCCTTGTCTCGTATAAAAAAGCACAATAATCGGTTAGATCAAATAATCGCGATTAGACGGTTATTTAATTATCGCGACAACTGTTTTCAACATTGATAATAATAAGAAATGTTTCTTAAGCAGCAAATCAGCATATTAGAATGAATGATGGATCGTGACACTGAAGAATGTAATAATGATGCTGAAAATTCACATTAATAAATTACATCTTAAATATTCAAACAGAAAAAGTTTCTAAATTGTAATAATATTTCACAACATTACTGTTTTACTGTATTTTTGATCAAATAAATGCAGGCTTGGTAAGAATACTAGACTACTTTCAAAAACAGTTGTGTATTAAAACAAACAAGTACTACTATTTAATGCATCTCATGATACAAGTGTTCAGGAAAGGATAAAAGCTGTAATACTGACCATTGGCTGAGGCTGAGAGACAGGCACATTGGGCTGAGGGAGGGGCTGGTTAGGTACTGGTACCGCTCCAGGCTGAGGACTTGGGTTTATGAGCTGAACCACAGCCGGACGGTGGAGCATTTTCTATGAGAATAACAGATGATTTTTCTCTTGATCTTTATATGGCTTAAAGGGGTCATATGATGCTGCTAAAAAGAACATTATTTTGTGTATTTGGTGTAATGAAATGTGTTTATGCGGTTTAAGGTAAAAAAAAAGCATAAACTGCCCAAAAATAGAAATTCTGTCATCATTTACTCTCCCTCATGTCATTTCACATCTGTATTACTTTTGTTTATCTTCTAAATAAAGATTTTTTTTTTACCAAAATCAGAGAGATTTCTGTGGCTCCATTGAAAGCCCACAACTTTCAAAAGTTAATAAAAACATCAAATTAATCCATTTGAATCTAAGCAGTTAGATCCAAGTCTTCTGAATTAAAAACATGGCTTTTTTAATGAAAATATGTAATTTAAGGTTTTATGCACATATAACCCTTGATCTACACAGATACAAAAGGTTTGTCTTCTACAAACTTTTTTGCAACTTTAAAGTTTTGAAAGAATGGACTGTCAATAGAGGAATAGGACATTTTCCCAATTTCATAAAAAAATATATGCATTTCAAAAATGAACAAAAGTCTTACGAATCTGAAACAAGGTGAGGATAGGTAAATTATGATTTTTAATTTTTTTTTTGTGAACTAATCCTTTAAAGGGGTCATATGATGCGATTTCAAGTTTTCCTTTCTCTTTGGAGTGTTACAAGCTGTTCGTGAATAGATAAGATCCCTAAAGTTGCAAAGACTAATGTCTCAAATCCAAAGAGATATTCTTTATAAAAGTTAAGACTGGCCCACGCCCTCCTAAAACGGCTCGTTCTAACACGCCCCCACGTCTACGTCACTGTGTGGGAAGATTTGCATAACGCCGCCCAAATGTTCACGCAAAGAAAGAAGTCGTAACTTTACTGTTCCTGCCACTGCCATGTTGTGAAGCCGCTGTGTGTTTTGTTGCGAAAGCGAAAATACTTAGTTTGGTCTTCCAAAAGAGGACACGACTAGAAATCAGTGGTTAAGTTGTATTTACAACACTGTTCCGGAACAGTTCAACCCAAATATTCAGATATGCGCAGCACATTTTATGGAGGACTGTTTCCTGATCCTGGTAGAGTAGACTACAATGCTGGCTGTTCTGACTCACAGACTGCAAGTACGTTTTCATATTTAAAGAATTTGCCACTGATTCAAACGCGAGTTTTGGGCAGTGTAGAGTAGCCCTTGTTTGTCATTTCTCCGATCACAAATGCAGACATGGTTTTATGTTTAAGCGGCGCGATGCATGTAATTGCACTCATGCGACCTCTGAGCCTCATTAAACGTCTGAAAATACACATACAAGCCACTTGTGTGTTCTTCTATGCCATCTCAGTAGCACAAATTTATTTCTTAAATACTGATTTCATTTGATTGGTAACTTATCCTTATTCTACTTGTTTTAATTAGAAATTTTAAAAAGCTCATAAATATATATTTTTGATTTTGACAAAAGATGACATACTTTTAGTAAAGTTAGAAAAATGCCATTACAAAGGTAAAAACAAAATCCCCTATAAATCACTTTAAGGAGTCAACTATCACCTCGTAATGGGAAGGTTAATTTTTTTTATCAGAATTTTTGATTACTGATTAGAAGGTGCTCCTAAATTTTTGACCGTGCACAAGCGCTCCTAAAAAGAAAAGTATCCGTAAAGCCCTGTTAGACCCTCTTGATCTGAAACTTCAGTCTTAAATTTAACAGGCCACTTTCCTATACTCACCTTCATCTGTTTCATTAGCTCAAACATCTGCTCGGGAGGCAGACTGGCTACTGCCCTGCTAATGGACTCTGGGGCTTCTTCTGGTGTGCAGCTGCCTCCATAAGGGGACTCAATAATTGGAGCTCCAGTCCCCAAACCTGTGGAAAAAAGCATGCAGGTCAAACAAATTGGCCATTTCTAGTACGATAGATTTAAAAATCTAATTCAAACAGCCTTGTAATATTTAATAGAATATTACACTTTAAAACGCAAACTTACTTTTGAGCTCCTCTTTATTTTTCTCACTAGCAGCGTTATCAACGCGGAGGGCCCTGCCACTAAACTCTCTGCCATTCAGGTTGCGCATGGCACTGAGCGCCGTCTCCTGATCCTGGTACTCACAAAAGCCATATCCCTTTGGCTTACCTGTTTCTCTGTCATACACCAACCTGCAAGAAGTTTTTTTTTTGATAAGCACTAGGTTTCCTCTAAAGCAGGGGTGCCCAAACTCGGTCCTGGAGGGCCGGTGTCCTGAAGAGTTTAGTGCCAACCCCAATTAAACACACCTGAACCAACTAATCAAGCTCTTACTAGGCATACTAGAAACTTGAAGGCAGGTGTGTTGAGGCAAGCTGGAGCTAAACTCTGCAGGACACCAGCCCTCCAGGACCGAGTTTGGGCACCCCTGCTCTAAAGTGACCAAAGCATGCTGTTTCAAGCATTATTGTGCATACCTAAAACTGACGACAAGTCCAACCTCTGAGAAGATGTCTTTCAACTGCTCCTCCGTGGCCTCATATGGGATGTTTCCCACTATTACCAAAATACAAACAATAAGGCAAATAAGGAACCATGTTGCAAACTGGTTTACTGTAGCAGCATCTGTTTTGAAGCTCAACACGTTGTTTTATTGGTGATATGCTACTTTTGACCACTTACACCACTGCATCAGTCCATCCATATCTGCAGTAGTTTTTCACCTATTGGTTGTGTAAACGTGAGCATGTATGTAAATAAATATCTACTGAAAATAAGGTGTTTCATAATCTTATTCCAGAGTTTTAGTTATCACTAACTTTAGGTGAGTGAGGTTTAGCTTAGCAGCTAATGAAGCTTATGAATAGTAACCCAATATCTTCATACATACCGAAAACTGAGCGTAACGAGCGGTCCACGGCCGGGTCTCTGGCAGCTGCCGCAGCAGCTGCTGAATTCGCCATATATTCAATGATAAAAACCACAGCTAACACGATAAATGACCAGCACAGACAGATGAGAAGCCAGAGACCGTGTAGTAAAAATAAAGATGGCGCTACACGACCGGTGCGTTGATATTTCAAAATAAGAGTCCGAAGACGCCCTTTATCCCGCATTTAAACTGCTAAAGTATCTCGCTGTCAGAAATATTTTATCATTATTCAGTGCACAACAACATTATATAGCATCATAAACAACGTACAAGAGAAAATAAACCAAAAAAAGGAGAATTAAAAATGCATAGTGAGTAAAAATAAAAATGCAATATAATAATATAATAATAATATAATTAATAAAATAATAATATGATTAGACATATAAATAATTCAAATAAAATACTAAGCTCACAATGTTTTTTTATTAATATAATATATCATATTTTCAATGTACTGCCTGGTTGGCCTTTAGCCAAGATTCATATTAATTCAATAATCCACAATTTTTCTTCTTCCTTAGAATAATATGTGAAGTCAAGAAATAGCCTACATTTTCCCACTATATGCAGGTCCTGAATGTTCTATTTAATACGTCAGTGGTGTAAAATTTAATTTTATGTTTACGTTAATGCAATGTTAAATTTTTAAGGAATGAAAGCAAATAGAGCAGTTTTCTTGTTGCCACATGTTCTCCGGATGCAGAATTGCTGTAAACACCCTTCATAACCAAGAACTTTTAAAGAAAACAAGAGTAAATATCTCTGAAGAGTGAGAATCACTACTCAGTGTGGCAGTACACATGTTTTATATCCACTGACAATTGTTTTGACAACAAATTTAAAAATGTTCACAGTGGGAGCTCAGTAGGGGGCCCGACCTAAACATCAACCTAAATATCTCAGAGAAATGTTTCTCAACCCTGTCGCCCTTAGCTCGCTCACTAGGGGGCTGCATGGCACTATTTTCTTTTCTTTTCTGTTGTCTGTAAAGCTTCTTTAGAACAGCATGTATTACTAAATCTCTATACAAATAAAATACAAATTTAAACATGAATTATAATTACAAATTAAAATGTACTTTAAGTAAAGTTCAGGATTTTTCTCTATGCAGATTAAGAAATATTTTTCACATGTTGCACTATATCTTGATTTGTGTCTTTTTTTTAAACTGCTTTAGATTAAATGATTTTAACATATTATTTTAAATAATTTAAAAGGAATACATCACTCAAAAATAAAAATAATTTACCTATCCAAATGTTTTATGAATCCTCAATGGTCTTTTTTTATTGGACAGTATTCAAAACACACAGATTTTCAATTCAAAGCCATTGTTCAAAGCTATTGTATGACTTCAGAAGACTTGAGTCAGACTCTTTTTATAATACTTTCATGGTACTTCTGTGCCCTTCTTGCAGTCTAAAGCCTCTGGTCCCTATTCACTTTCACTATATTGAAATAACAGCATGAGCATTTCTCAAAAAACAAATCTTGTATTTTGTTTCACAAAAGTAATGTGGAAAATGGGTTTGGAACAAAATTTCAGTTTATTATTTTATGTGTGAACTTTTCCTTGCAAACATCTAATGAGTTTTGGCATCACCGGTTACTGCAGTAGTGAGTCTATCTGACACTGATTAAGAACTTTCTTTTATAAAGTATTGTTTGTGAAAAAAAAAGAATCTCACTACATGCATTTAGTGTTGCGACCACATGGATTTTGACTTGTTCTTGCAATATACTGTAAATTGATCTGAGTAACATCATACTGTCTTGTCAGTCTTTTGTTTTGTCAGTTTACTTAGTACTAGCACAGCAGGACCAATATATATTTTTTGTTAAGATATTTTATCTTATTACAGATATATTCATCACGAACATGTTAATTGTGTTGTTTGTTATTTACTAGCACTGTAAATCATGTAATATGTTCCTTCAGAACCTTGGACAGCTCCAATCCTGATATTAAAACAAGAAATTGCAAAGACATGATAAGCTATATTTATCAGTTTTCTGTAAATCTGTTTAGTTAGGACAATTTAATCCCCTTTCTTGTCTATAAACCACAAATGAAAAGCAGAAAATTCTTCATTGTTCAGCAATTATTTTGCTCATCATTATGGAGAGTGGAAATTTGATACTATAAACAAATTTATCACAACATCGCAGTAATGCTTACAAATGTGGATTAGAGCAACATCTTTCCAAAAGTGATATAGATTATTTTAAATAGTGTTCTAGGTTATTTTATTGGGATAAAAGAGGTCTGGAACTAAACATATACAGAATATTATTTATACTTATTAATACTTAATTTATTAAATGTATTAGTACTTAATAATACTTATTTATCACAACAATTGCCAGAAATGTTTTTGTTAGTTGCCATTTGATTTGTGTGGAAACTGTCATGGTACATATAGAAAGCTTCATATTTAGCCTATAAATTAATGCACATTCTAGCATACTAGGATGTCATATGAACAAACCCAATTTCGGTTCTAAAAATATTGAATATCAGTTTCATGTTCATGTTATGCCATTACTAAAACTGGTCAAAGGAAATTGTATTAAGAAATGAATTAAATGTAAGAGAATGTGCATAAAAGATGCACCACCATTGCATTTTCTTTTTTTGTTGTTCAGCGCCAGTTATAATTTTATAGAGATCTTCAGCTGATAACATATTTTAGAGGTGTTACTGGGAATCCAAAAGATAAAGGGTAGGCTACATATTTGTACCTTATTTACCCCTAAATAGTACATATTAGTACATTAAAGGTACACAATAGTACTGTAAAGTACATATTAGTAGTTAAAAACCTTTTGTCTCTGCTCTGTTGAAAGTTTTGGATACTTTTATCCAAACAAGTGCATTAAATGTATAGCCTAGTTTGTGCTTTCCCTGGTTATCAACATGATCTTGGCATTGCAGCACCATGTAACCGATAAGTAGGCTACTTATCTTATGATGAAGTCTGCTAAAGTCTACTTTAATTGGAGACTGAATTAGTTGGAACAGCAGTCAAGCAGAAATGCGTGATGCTGGGTCCGCATTAACAGCAGGGGTCGCACAAACACTTTATTTGACTTCACGCTAGCATGTTGCTTGTCACCGTCATTAACCAAACGATTTTATTTACAGTTTAGCTAATGACGTTGCAATTTGCCTCATTTTTCTACCAAATTATACAAATATGATTTATTTATAGCACGCAGAGTTCCTTTTTCATATAGCTATCTGCGTAGAATTAGCGTCATAGACAAAACGCGATACATGGCCAATTGAAAGCAGTTCACCAGGAAACGCTACGATCCTTCAGGTGCCACGACGTCGTTGAATGTACCTAATCTCTTCAACTGTGACACGAAAAACGCTTGGTTCTACTGGGGCTCGAACCCAGGACCTTCTGCGTGTAAAGCAGACGTGATAACCACTACACTATGGAACCGCTTGTTACGTGTAAACGACACGACCAAACAACACCATGATACACCGACCGCCAAATTGGTCGGTCTCATTACCGCTAATGAATTAAGCTACCACCTCGAATTTAACAAAGCATACGAGTCTTTGTTTGGACGTGTTGTTGAGGTTGGCTCTGTTTTCTTGCATCTCAGTTCAGACCTTCAGCGCGGGGTCAGAGCGCCATGCGTTCTGTGGGAACCAAAGTCATCCTGAGTCTGACCGAAGTAGAAGACAACTTTGTTGTATAAATTGCATTAACTTGTAAATGTTTCTTCCTTTACTTAATGATATTTTTATTTGTAACGTACAAATGCTCAATCCACCATTTAAATAACCATAAAATAGATTTAAAGGGCATTATGTGAAATTAAATAAATAAAACACACTTTGTTAGGCCTGGTTGCTGATCTATCTATCTATCTATCTATCTATCTATCTATCTATCTATCTATCTATCTATCTATATCAGGATTAACCAGTATAAGTGAAAGCATCAGTTGACATCAAACCTCAGATATTTTCAGAAGACTTTTTCAATGACATTGTGGGGTCAATATGCAAACAGCTCAATATATTCTCTTCATTACATTGCTTTGGGCAAAATGGATGCATAAAGGTTGATACATTTGTGAATTAAAAATCACATCACTGTTTCTCATTTGACCATAAGCATTCTTGTGAAAGCTTAGACTTCTGTTATTTTGGCTGCTTTGTGTCAAATAAGAGTTTATGTTTGAAGAGTTTGACAAAGGTTTGATTTTTTTTTGTCAGTTTATTATAAAAAACGAAATATTGTATGTAAAGTAATTAGGCATTGGGGGTTCTGCATAAAGATTAAAAGGACCAGAGTAAACATCTGCAAAAGACAGTCACTCAATCATGGCAATTTCTTTAATTTACACCCCCAGTGTTTGAATTCTTTAACACCTCTCAGTTTCTGAAAGATAAGCAATTACCCTGCTACCACCGGCCTGTGTAATGTGCAAAGTTTTCTCCTTGGTTTCACTCGCTTTAAGACCCTGATTTTACAGCATAGCCAAAAATCTAAGATAGTGCAGTCTCATGCACACACACAAAAAAATGACGATTAGTCACTAATTGCTTCCCCCCCCCAGGAAATTAAGTCTATGCCATTGTTAGTTATAAATAAATAACTGCACTATTTAATTGCTGCTGCTGTTTGTATCAATGCAAGAACCTATTTAACGTAGCAGGTATTTAAAACAAGTTTTTTTGTAAGCTCCCTCTTGTTGCAGATGTGAGATGTAATGTCCAAATAATTATGCAGCGATACTAATACTGATACTAATTAATACTTAATAATGTCCAAGAAATTACACTGTAAATACGAGAAATAAAGCTGCAATTAGCCTACAATATGAACACATAATGTATATAAAACATTGCAACAAGGTACCACGACAACATTAAAGCTGCAATAAAGTATTCTGTTTCAGATTTCTTCATTTATTTCACTTCTCTATCAGCTTTATCTAGCTTATTTGGAGGCCCCTGGCAGTCTGGGGCCCTATTGGCCCAGTCTATAATCTATCGAATCTAAAACAACCACAGTGCAGTTCCTTACATGGTTATTTGACGTTCAGAATTGTACGAAAAAGACGAACAAAGGGGTCACATTTGAAAGCCTTTTATCAAA